TTTATGTTACATTAAGTGAATGACACTGTATTTTATGGGAACAGAAGCTTATTTACCTCACAGTTTTGGAGGGTGAAGAGCTGTGCAACCCCTTTGATTCCGGATGGATGGTGAAGGAGGATTCCTCAAGATCTGCACTGATCACTTCCAGGGTGCCACTTCCCACTGACCTAAGGACATTGCACTGACCCTGCATCTTAAAGGTTCTACCACCTCTGAACATTGTCACACTGAGGACACACTCACAGTAAAATAACTTTGGGGAGGACATTCACACCATATCCTAACCATAGCACAGTCCTATTTAAATAGCATCTTCTTAATGAGAATTTTAGAAATAGGAAATGTGGAAGTTACCAGTATTCACAGGAAAGTGTTCTCTTGGGAAAGGTAAGGCAACCTATGTAATATGATCTGAGATACTCCCAAAGTCACAGCTGTGTATGTACAAAATTATATTCTGCTCTTATTTTTAAAATAATACAAAGTGGTAAAGGACATAATATAATTGTTTTATTCTGTGAAATCAGCTCTTTCCATTTAGTTTTTATCTGGTATGGAATGTCTTCTTACATGTTAAGCTTTCTGAGGTACTTTGTGTTTCCTGGACAGAGTCTTGCTAAACTGCAGGAGCGGTTTCATTTGGACCAGAACATGGGCAAATCTGAGCCAGATTTGAGATCCAGTCCTGTGAATTCTCATTTATCTCTTTCCAGACAGACTCTTGATGCTGGGTCACAAACAAGCATTTCTGGAGATGTAAGTTGTCTATGTCGTTGTGGTGCTGTCCCTGATGGACCTTAATGACAGTGTGGATAGTGAATTGGCACAGGAGCTAGAAACATGATTTACATTCTGGCCATATTCAGTCAGTATTTTATTGTTGTAAGATCAGTTTTAAAGATCTTAGCCTTTACTTTTTGTCAAGGTGCCAAACACATCAATACTTGTTCATATGAATAGCTTTGCTCAAATTTTCTCAGACTGCGTTTTTGAGAGACATTATTGAAAGGCCAGTGAAGCATGTTAGTTTAACTTATTCCTACTAAGTTTAGAGTCTTAGAAATTTAGGTCATGTTGAATGAGCATTAAAGCTAATGAGAAACAGAAATATGTTTTTCAAACCTAACAAGAAAATTTCTTTTTTGTAAACTTAAGGTTGATTTTATTAAAGGTTTAATTTGTGATTTATAGGTAACATTTGCAAACATTTAACAGGGCTGAGATATTATACTGTTGACTTTTTTTTTTCTTTTTTGGAAATAGTAAGTATTTACCTTTCAGTTATTTTTGTGCTCTCTTATTCTTCTTTGAAGTAGATGCCATGAAGAAAAAAACAGCTAGAGATCAACAGTAGGACTTACCTGTTTAACAATTAATTTTGGAGGTTATTTAGTTTATATTTTGTATAGTTGGGAGAAGCTAAATGATGGAAATTTTGGCTCATAAAAGCAAAGAAATAAGTTCCAGTTCATAAATTTTATTGACCTATACACCCCTCATAAACTTTTAAATACTAGACACATTTACCTAGTATTTTTGTCTTGAATTTAATGTGGAGAGAAAGTAATGTTAAAGTCTTTGCTAAACAGACAAGCTAGAATTGAAAGAAATGTTTGCCCCTACTGAGACAATGAAGTATCTTTTTAAAACTGGTTCTTTTCCATTTTAGTATCATTTTCTTGAGCTTTTCAATTACTTGCACTACCTAGAAACAAAAGCAGTTTACTTCATTCATTAACAGAGTTAATTGACTTTTTTCCTTTTGTTTTTACTAGATTGGCGTAAGAAGTCGATCAAATTTAGCTGAAAAAGTCAGGCTAAGCCTACAGTATGAAGAAGCCAAAAGAAGGTAAGGACGAGGGAGCTGTTTTGTTCATGGTCATTGGATTCAAACAGTTTTTTCTTTTCCAAAATTAACCTTTATTCCTGTGGTGACATCTGCTGGACACTTCCCATTCCCCCCCCACCCCATTACTCTTGGTGTTTTAGCATATAAGGGTTATTTATCCTCTGTTTTCTCTCATTCCTTTTCCCCTCCCATGCAAGCTGTTAAAGAATAAGGAAAATTAGTGATAATAAAATTGTCTCCTTGTTTTCTGGGATACAAGAAACTTTGAGCTTGTTCATTACTCCCAGTTAAAGGGAGGAGATTCAGTCTTTAGGTGGAGGAATGGCTCAGGTACAAGACTTGATAGCTGTTGAGTTATGAAGTAAGTATCTGTGAACATGCTCATCTGCATGGAAGAGAAGTGTTACTGCTGTTGTCCTGGAGAGTACTGCAGTGTGTGTGCCAGTTGACTTATTTTAAAAAGAAAAAAAGCAACGTCCTTACTTCTTGACTTATTAACTCTTATGAATCTCTGTGCTTTATTTTTCTTACTTCCACACCTGCTAGGATGAGGCAAAAGAGGCTTCACCACCCGTAGGTAGTAGGTAGTAGGTGTCCTCAGACTGTTTTCGTTATATAGCTCACCTTACTTGTTTGGAGGGAGAAAGTCATACTTATATAGTTGACTTCATTACTCTCCTTTTAAGAGCTCAAAATGCCATTGGTTTATTATTTAGAAGAAATTGGGGAAAAATACTGCATTGTCACTCTGTAGGAGACCAAATAATTTATCATGCTCCTCTCCATAAGCATGAAAACCAACTAGAGTTACATGATTTCTTACCGTAAGTAAAACCATTAATGTACTGTATCCATTACAGTGGTATCTCAGTTGACAAACTTAATTCGTTCTGCAGTTCTGGAAAGGATGGCCACACTTGAAGGAGTGCGGGGGTGGGAAGGAGATGGGCTCGGTTGTGGTCATTGCCCAATGTAGAGTTCACAGACCAAACAAAAGTTTGCCAAATGCTAAAGTGTTTGTGATCTAAGGTGTCACTGTATTACTGGTTATGATGAAAATTTAAAAGTAAATAGCCATAGTTTATAGTTTACCTGGCTCTAACAAAGTAATATCAATACAAAATTTGCCAATATTTATCTTATAGTAGCCAGATTCCTTTGCTCCGCTATAAACAAAGTCCAGAATCTATGTCTTTTTCTGAAAGAGAATGACCATAGCTCAGAATGAACCTTAGAGGAACCGTGTTCTAATGAGCCTGACTGTTCTTCCTGTGGGTCATTTTGAGTGTTTGCTTTAATGTGGCTGCTAGCAGTTAATTTTGTCTGGGGCTTACCTAGCATTTCTCTCCTTAGATGTTCCTGGATATGTCTGTATTTTCTCCCAGTCTTGGTGCACCTTTTTGAGGTCTACCTAATGTCTGATTACACAAATAATAAATACAAGCCTTTCTTGATTGTATTTCATTTTTGTTCAATTGGTTAACTCAGTCAGATCAAAGCTTAAGGCACTGGTTCCTTCCCTTTTGATTGCATTGCTGTACTATGTGAGGTTTTATTTTAAAGTTACTAGGGATGATCATGAGAAGATAATTCTCAGGTGTATATGCATATGTTAAAAATGCATTTTCCTCAATTCTGAATAAGTTAAGAGGTAGGCTGTATTTTTCTGAAAGCTTTTTTCTCCTACAGCCTTTGTTTCATGTGCTTAATGAAGCTAATAATATCATGCTTATTTAGCACTTTGATGATTAATTTTCCAGTACATTGAGACAGTTGTTTATGGTTTTGTGGTTAAAACTGAAGAATAGCTGATGTTACATCTATCATAATTGCATATGGTGGATGAAAATAAGGATACTACATATACAGTGCCGTTCTGAGGTGGAAATTTTATTTCAGACTAAAACAAAATCATAAGGACATGGCTTTACTTCCATCTTTGTTCTTGATTTGTGTGTGTGTGTGTGTGTGTGTGTGTGTGTGTCTTCCCTTTTAGTCTCTTTGATCAAAAAAATTTTATAGTCTTCTTTTCTGCTCATTTTCTGTATTCTGGCACATGCTGTAACAATATCAAAAGCAATCACCCCACATTTTAAAATAACAATATGGATTCTTTGTGTCTATATCAGTTGTGTTCATAGTCTATCTGGATCTTGTGATTTATGCTTACAAGGGTAATGTGCCATTTACCTTATGTAAAGTCCTTATGGTCCTCACAGTACCACAGAACAAGTTAATTAACTCAGGGGGTTCAAGACATTCATGACAAATTGGGAATTATAGTAGCATAACCATTTTTTATGGAGCTGTATACACAGTGAAATCTGGGGTCAGGCAACATTATGACACTAGTACATTTACCTTCACTGTCTTTTCCTCTTGTTTCTCCAATAGCCAAGGTCCTGATAGGAACAAAACTTCCCAGTGTGAAACTGAAGGAGAATGTGGGTGGGAGGAGGCCAAGTCCTGCTCCCTTTTCTTGGCTGATGTGAACTTTGATGGGTTGACTTTGTTTTAATGCAAGTTGACCAAAGCACTGCTCCCTTTTCCTCCCATTTTCTTTCCCTGACTTTCTTGCTAATACTCTAGTTTCTACCTGAACTACTTTGGGAATTATCATTTTACTACGGAACAGTGTTTTGACCTAGAGAAACAAAACCTGTATTAAAGATAATATTTGTGAGATCATTTAAATCTTTTTTTAAAATATGTTTAGCACCGGGTCTATAGAGTCTCACTGCACAGAACCGACTCAGAGTGCTCCTCCTGTTTTTCAGCCTCCCAAGCACTGGGATCATGGGTGCATGCCACCATGCCCAGTCTCAGTGCGCCCTGAGGGGCGGGGCCAGTGCCGCAACTTTTTTTTTTTTTTTAAGGACAGGCACTAGGCTGCTCCTTCTGTCATCTCACAAAGGCAGTGACACATCAGGGCTGCCTACTCATTTTCCCCAGAGCACTCTGCTTTTGAGGCTACCATGTATATGGCTTTTACACTTTGGGGAGAGGTGCTGCCAGTCTCTGGTAATCTCCAGTTGGGAAGACCTGGACAGCAGTTTCACCCCAGACTTAGCTGGCTTGTGTGCACCTTTCTCAGGAGTCCTAAATATGTGTATGTCTTGTCTACCTATTTCAGTATGGCCAACTTAAAAATTGAGCTGTCAAAGCTTGACAGTGAGGCCTGGCCTGGAGCACTGGATATTGAAAAGGAGAAGCTGATGCTGATTAGTGAAAAAGAAGAGTTTCTGAAAGAGCTGCAGTTTGTCACGCCACAAAAACGCACACAAGATGAACTGGAACACCTGGAAGCTGAAAGGCAGCGGCTAGAGGAAGAGCTGCTGTCTGTGCGAGGCACGCCTAGCCAGGCTCTGGCCCAGAGGTATGACTGCCTCCTGAGAATGGGATGATTTAAACCTGTGCTCGTAGCTTAGCCAATGGCATTTCCTGTGCATTTGGAAACCTCAATTACATCTGTTTTTAGTGGTTGGTGAAAAAAAAAACAAAACAAAAGGACTTTCTTTGTGTAGAGCAATAAAGAATCCTTCCTAGCTGCCCACAGTATCAGCTCCTGTGTTCGTTAGGAATGTGAAAAGGCCTGTGACAGATGTCAGATAACTAAATGTTGACATAAAACCAGGAATGCTGAGTCTGATAACAATAACTATAAACTATTGCCTCTGATAAGAAAGATTATCTAGACTGTTCCAGGGACTGAAGCTTCCTATTCTAGGTTTGCTATAAGAATGTAAAGGTTTACTGCTTCTAATTTCCTAGGGGAAAGATAACTTGGTCCCTTTGATATCTTAAAAGGTCACAAATGTTCCTTGGGTTTGGTTTGGTTTGATTCTATTTTGTGTTTTAGAGGCAAGATCTTGTTTTGTAAGATCTTGGCTGCTTCGTGGCAGTACTCATGGCAACACTCTTGCCTCAGCCTCCCAAGTACTTGGATTCCAAAGTGCACCACCATGCCTACCTTTTTCCTTGAATTTTTTCAGTCAAACCCTCTCCAGGAGCAGATGAAAATGTCAAGAAGGGGGACGTGGAGATGGCTCAGTAGAATAAGCGCTTGCAGGGTCTGAGTTCAATCCCTGGTTCCACAAAAAAAAAAAAAAAAAAAAAAAGAAAGGAAAAAAAAAAAAAAGAAAAACAATTGTCAAGCAAAAAGCCTAACAGTTTTCTGATCTTTCTGTGGAAAGGTGTGAGTTGGCTGTTTAATACGAAAAATCCAGTTCTAGGGCCAGCAAGATAGCTCAGCAGGCTAAGTCACCTGCTTAGGCAAGCTTAGGCAGGTGCAGGGCCTGGGGTTTGATTTCTGGGCACGTGCTAGTCAGCCCCACTCTCCAGGCACACTGAGCTGACAAAAAACAAACAAACAAAAAAAACCCTCCAGTTTTGTAGATAGTTGTGGTGTTAATCAAAAGGACTTCTGTGTGTTGGTGTGAGCTGAGCACATCCACATCAGAGCCCCTGTGTCCAGTCCTGGTGGCTGGACGGTGAGGCATCTCTTTTAGAGAGTTTCTGTGACCCTTTTGAACTGCTGCACCTCCACCCTTTAGGTCAGGGAGTATGAAGCAATGGCAGGAATGAAATTCACACTAGGATAATCTTGCATGACCTTGGAGTAAATTTAAAATATGCAGTCATAACCAGTTTACTTTTTTATTTTTTGTTACTCCCTTCTTACCTTCCAATCCCTAGTCCTCAGTAAGTGGTTAGTATGTGTCTACATAATACCAAAACACTTAAAAAGTGTGAGAAAAGAGAAAGGTAAAAATCTCTGATATTCTACATTAGGTGGTAACATGTGGACTTGCTCGCTCCAGGTTTAACTATTTGAGGAGAACTAACTTACGAGTTAAATTATTGATCAGAAGACTTCATGGTTACATCACCACTTTGGAGAACATCAGCACGTATCTAAAGAAGTCCCCATGAACTGTATTCTTTGATTGTCTTAAGGAATTCTGATTATTTGCCCGATTTCCCTTTTCTTTCTTCACCTCCTGTCTGATTTCTTTGTCAGTAGTACAACAGAGGAAGGGTCACGTAGGGTATGTGGAAGAAAGGCCGGCCAGGACTCCCTGACAGAGCATACAGGAACAAAAGTGAGAGTGAGAAAACAAGGCAGAGGTCAATTTTTTTTCCTAAATTCCCTTTCTGTATTTGTATAGTTTAAATTTACAGGAAGAGGTTTAATAATTATGTTGGTCAGGGGCTGGGGAGATGGCTCAGTGGAATAAGCACTTCCCTGGCAAGCGCAAGGGCTTGAGTTCAATCCCTGGTTCCAAAAAAAAAAAATTTTATGTTGGTCAGTTTTCCGTCACTACAACAAATACCTGAGAAAAACAGATTAAAGGAAGGATGATTACATTTGGCTCATGTTTCCAGAGGTTTTAGCTGATGGTCAGCTGGCTCCAAGGCAGAAACCTAGTGGAAGGGCCTGGTGAAGGAAAGCTGTGACCTCACAGCAGCCAGGAAGCGGAGAGAAAGAGCAAGATGCGCAAAAGATAAACAACCTTCTAAGGCCCTGCCCCTGGGGCCAGTGTTCTCCAGCCAGTTCTGGCTCCTCAGCCATCAACCGTGAACTCATCACTGGATTAATCCATGCAGAGGGCATAACTTCTAGGCAGCATATAATGTTTAAACCATAGCAGTAGTCACCAGTAAATATAATGAAATGGGGTGGCTTTTGGTGATCCATATAAACATCAGCGGTATTGTGTGTGTTCTGTAGTGTATATAGTACATAATAAATGTTATATGCAGTCATTCCTCAATATCCATAGAAGATTTATTCCAGGAACTCTTCCTGCGTGGCTTAAATTCCTTGAAAAACAAAAAAAAAATACCCATTCAGTACAAACACAGGGTTTTTGTCCCTCTGAATATTTTGATCATCTAATGTGGAACTGGGGATATGGAGCAGCCCTCCCCCACCCTTTTTTGTTTGGTACTAGGGATTCAACTGAGGACCTTTATACAGAACTATATCCCTACTTTCTTTTTTATTTTGAGTCAAGGTTTTACTGAGTTGCTGAGGTTGGGCTCAAACTTGTGATCCTCCTGGTCCAACTACAGCCTTCTGGAATGCTAGGATTGCAGGCTGATGCTGCCCTGTCCTGCCAAGAGCCCCGCATTCTAAAATGCTGAGTTCATCTCAGTGCTGCTTTGTAGAAGGTAAATCTGCCAAGACCTTATAAGCAGCCATTAGATTTGTACTAGGAGAGAAAAACGTGTGTTTATTTGCTGTAATCAACATTTATAGATGAGATCATACTGGAGTAAAGTAGCTTCTAATTCAATATGATTTTTTTGTTTGTTTGTTTTTTGGGTATCTTTTTTTTTTTTTCTTTTTTTGTATTTTTTAGGGAAGGGTCTACAGGGTGTTCAGGATCTCACTACTAGACGACTCATAGTGATCCACCTGTTTACAGCTCCCAAGAGCTAGGATTACAGGCATGTGTCACCACGCCCAGTCTCAATTGCCATCTCAGCACGTGCTAGATCAAACCCCTGGCCCCTGTGCCTACTTGCAGGTGCTTTAATCTGCTGAGCTACTTGGCCAGCCCTAATCAACATTTATAAATTTAGTGGCATTTTTTGTTTTTGTTTTTTGGAGACAAGGTCTTACTGTGTTGGCCAAACTGTCCTTGAAATTATAATCCTCCTTCTTGAAGGATCTCAGATCAGAAGCACATGCCCCACATCCAGCTCTTACTTGACTTTTGTATTAGGTATAGTACTTATCAGAAAAGGTTAATGAAGTGACATTGAAGATACAGTTTGTTCTCAGAAGCCTGAACTTTGAATTTTATAATTTTGTTTGCATGTACATAATCACTATCAAAATTCCAGCAGAAATAATAGGTCAGAACTAATCAGGAGGAAGGGCTGTAAAGTATTTATATAAAATAATGATATATAAAGTGAGATCCAACCATGAAATTTGTGTCATATGGCAAATAGGCAGTGTTATAGCTTACTAGTTCATAATGCATTCATGGCTTTACCTCCCATCATTGGATATTAGCTGGAAGGAAAATGTTATGTATTTTGTATTTGTAATATGTTCACTTTTTGAGTCATTCAGAGGTCAAGCCACTTAATATTATAAATAAGTAAATACTAATTTCCTTTCTAGAGTCTGTGGCCAAAGGCAGATAATTATATTTCAGTAAAAGGTTGAGGGACTCATATTTTCTTTACTGATCAATTTAAAAGTTCTCCCCATCCCCCATACTGGGGAATGAATCCAAGGTTTTGTATATGCTAGGCAAGCACTGTACCACTGGGCTACATTCCTAACCTTCTTGTTTTAAAGTTCTATTTTGAGATACTTTTTTTTAAAAAAAAAAACATTTTTTAAATCATTTATTTATTTATTTATTTATTTATTTATTTGGCACAAGTTCTCCCTATGGAGCTTGGGCTTGTAGTGATCCTGCTGTCTCAGCCTCCCCAGCACTGGGATTACAGGCATGCACCACCACGCCTGGTCCCTTGGCCAATTCAGCTCCTGGGGCCTGCACAGCATGCGGTATCAGGGATCGAATCTGGGACCTTGTGCTTGCCAGGCAGGTGCTTAGACCGCTAAGCTGTCTCCCCAGCCCAAGATAGAGTTTTATTAATTTTCCCAAGTTAGCCTTGAATCCTCCTGTCTCAGCCTCTTGAGTTGCTAGGTGCCACCATGCTCAGCTCAGCTTCAAGTTTTCTTGCTCCTACCATCAGTTGCCGAGGCTCAGTGTTCTACATGTCCTGAAGAGTAGAACCTGCTGCTGTGCTGAACACTGAACCCTTTATTTCCCAAGAAGAGACAACCTAGTAGGGCTTCAGGTTTTCCTTATTCCCTGTCCTCTGGCACTTCATATGATTCAGCTTTTGTTGTTTCTTACTATTATGCATGTACATTTCTGCTTCAGTTTTTGCTACTGGTTTTTTGTTTGTTTTGTTTTGTTTGGTACTGGGGATCAAACTCAGGACCTTGTGCTTGCCAGGCAAGCGCTTCAATCACTGAGCTGTCTCCCCAGCCTGCTTTTTGTTACTGTTGAACTAACACTGGGGCCTTAGAAGATGAGTGAACACCTTTGCGAGCAGCGTATTTCCTTGGTGCTGCAATATGAGGCCGCCAGAGATACTCTAGGGAAGTAGACCTTACCATGCAAAATTTACATTCACCACAGAACATATTGTGCTGTGCTAACTGTTCTCTCAGTTTCTTCTTGATACCTAAAAACTACCAAAGAAAGCTACTAGCATTGCCCCAAATTCTCCTGTTTTCCATTTATACTGTGGGCTCCTAGTTATTTCAGGGGTGTGCTTAGACCGCTGAATTTTAATCTCTGAAGGTGCTAAACTCAAGTAAATTTTCCCTTACTGTGTATTATCATAGTCTCCAATCAGGGTTCCCATTCCCACAGTATGGCAGTGTCACAAAGTCAGGGACGCAGTGGCTGAGCTTGCCATCTAGTGGCAGTAACACAGGCCAGGAAAAGTAAGGAATGCTCCTTGTAAGGGTTGGCAGGTCAGAAGAAAATGCTCTCAAGTGGAAGTCTTTCTGTGCATTGTTTGTATTTTCTCCCTCTAGTTATGGACAGCCCTCAAGCTCTGCTCCATAGCTGATAAGATCTTAGTGCTCCTTACTTTTTCACTAATTTGGGGGGGCTTGTCTTGTAATTACTGATATCTGGATTATTTCTTAATTCTTTGGATGTTTTTGCCTCTGCTTCTGAAAAAAACTTGTAAAGCAAATAGATATGGGTATGAGAGCCTGATCTCTGCTACTGGGGATTGAATCCAGGGCCTTCACACTGAGCTCCATCCCTACTCCTATCTATGTTTTGAGTCAGGGACTTGCTTAGTTGTCGAGACTAAGCTTGAACTTGCAGTCCTCCTGCCTCAGCCTCCCAGAGTACTGGGATTACAGCTGTGTGCGCTTACATCCAGCTGTCTTTTATTTTCTAGTGAAAAGGGATGCTTTCTTCTATGGATAACATGAAATTTTCCCTAGATACAGAGCTCTGTGCAGGAGAGGCCAGGCAAAGGTAGGATACAGTGGCCCTACATTTGACAGAGGACAGCTCAAAGGGGTATAGAGCAACAGGATCATGGAGAGGAATCTTCTAGGGGCAGGGGTGAAAAGGCCCTTTCTAGGAGACTAGGAAGACTAGAGTTGGAGAAGTAGGCAGCTTCTAGGAGACTAGGAAATGGGGTGGAGAAGAGAGATAGATATGCACCTCCTAGAAGGGCTAGTATCAGCTAACTGAGAGGAAGCCAAAGAAAAATTGCAGCTGTCTCTTGGAGATATAGCTGCCCCACTAGAGGTTTCTGGGCTCTCCTGACTGCTCTCGATGTGTTTCTTGCAGTCACTCCAGCAAGAAGCCTGGCTGGAGGAGACAAGCAGCTGGACTTTGGGTTGTATTGGGTAACACAAAACTCAAGTATGATAGTTCAGAATCAGCCTGAAAGGGCAGAAAGAGCAGACCCTGAACGCAGCCTGGGCATGAGTAGAGGAGGGATCGTCCCTGTTGACAGGGAAAGGAAAAGCTTCCTGTTTAAAATTTAAGATGAGGGCCAGAGAGATAGCTCAGCGGGCTAAAGTACCTGCCTAGGCAAGCTTAGGAGAGTGCAGGGACCATTCTTTGGTCCTCAGCGACACATGCCAGCCACAGAGTATGGGCAGAGTGGTGCACACATGTAATCCCAGTGCTGGGGAGGCTGAAAACAGGAGGATCACTATGAGTAGGAGCTGCATAGTGAGACCCTGTAACAACCAAATACATTAAAAATTAAAATAAAAATAAACTTGTGTGTCTGACTTACTTCACTAAACATTAAAATAAAATGAAATAAAATTTAAGACGAAACAAACATTTCAGGATTAAATTTTCTGTCATACTGCTGTCTCCTTAAAAGGAAAAGACCTTAATTTAAATAAAAGAAATAGGACCAGCGAGATGGCTCATCAGTCTGAAGCACCTACTTAGGCAAACCAGAGGGACTGTGGTTACCGCACCACATGCCATGCCAGCCCTGCCCCCAGAGTGAGCTGAGCTGACCACAAAAAATAAATGGATAAATAAAAGAAATATTTAGTTTTAAATCTTAATTTAAAAGTGTTTCTCTTAGGGCCAGCCAGATAGCACAGTGGATTAAGGTGCCTTCTTAGGCAGACACAGGGGCATGAAGTTCCATCCCCAGCCTGCCTACCATCCCCGCCCCCGGTGCACAATGAAATGGCGACTTAGACTGGGTGTGGTGGCGTGCACCTGTAATCCCAGTGCTTGGGAGGCTGAAAACAGGAGGATCACTACCAGTCCAATCTGTGTAATGAGACCCTGTAGACCCTGTGCTAAGTATATTTTTTAAAGTGTTTCTCTTGCTTCTGATTGTTATCTATCTATCTATCTATCTATCTGTTATCTATCTATCTATCTATCTATCTATCTATCTATCTATCTGTTTTTTGGGGGGTGGATCAGGAATCAAACTCAGGACCTTGCACTTGCCAGGAAAGCACTGTGCCATTGAGCTATATCACTGGCCCAGGTGTGAATTTTCGTATGCTGGGTTTGCTCTAGACCTTTGTATACTCTCTAATTCAGTTCATCATCTTTGTGTTTTATCTTTTTCTTTGTTGATTTTTTGGTTTATATTTGAGAGGTTTGTTTTTTTTTAAACCTGCCCTTTTTAAAAAAATGCACCTAGGAAAGCTGTGAATAAAGAATTTATCACACCTTGAAGCAATGAAGAAAATAGCAAGATTACTTTTTTACTTTAACATATAATGAAATAGTGTTGTTGACACATCAAAGGGATAGACACCTATAAATAAAATATGAGTATATTTCCTGTCTAAGACACACGTAACATTTCAAAGAGGTTGGGAACCAGGAATTTTTTGTTTCTCCAAACAAATGTGGCTAAATTTTGTATCACCACCTGCAGGGCATGCTGAGACTTTAAAGAAATATGATTTGTTTTTATCATCTGTAAAATGCTTTCACATACATTCTTTCATTCATCCCTTTAAGTGCCTTATCAGGTAAACGCAGGGGGATTGTAATTACCATTTTACAGATGGGAAAGGTAAGGCCATTTGTATGGTAACTTGCCAGACAATATGCAGCAAGTAAGCTGCACATCCATGACCAGGAACCAAGGTGTGCTTGTTCCACGTTGCACTCCATAGCTCACTTGCCTGCACTGCACTGGCTTGTGCCAGTGTTATCTAAAGACCCTCGGGTGATACAATCATCCCTGTGCAGGTTCTTTCTTGCATGAGCCTCTGTGTGCTTGATATATTTTTAAATGTATTGTTTTTGAAGATACAATTCCATAATACCCAAATTTTAAAAAATATAAAACTTTTGCAGCAGACCAAAGTGCCTGCTGAGGCAGAGTGTAGAAGCCGGGAGTTTGATCCCCAGAGTGCCATGCTGGCCCCACCCAGAGCGCACTGTGACAGTGATTGAGACTGGTCGTGGTGGTGCACACCTGTAATCCCAGCACTTGGGAGGCTAAAAACATGAGGATCACTAGGAGTCTGACTATGTAGTGAGACCCTGTAGGCCCTGTCCTAAAATAAAAAAAAAAGAACCTCTTTTGCATTTGAATGTGGATAAGATTTTATCATAATCCAGTGCAGGCAGTGAAATGTTCTGAGCTAGAAAGTCACATCACATTGAGGTCTTTTTGCTTAAGCCCAAATTAGTCTACAGTAGCAAGATAGACAAGTTCTTAATTATTAAAATTCTCATCAAATTAGGGTTAGAATTTCATCGTAAAATATTATTTTCAAACAATCCTTCTGAAGCTCAATACTTAGGATGACCTTTTATAATTCTCTATCATTTCTGTCAAATGCTTTGGCAAAGTGAAGTCAAGTTACAGACCTGTGTAAGGGTTTTATGGTCTTGGTTGAGTTCTTTTGCTGTCATTATTGTTTTCCTCCTTAGCATTCTTCTCTAATTCATGGGCTATGTTATTTACCCACTCAGGGAAATTTTACTCCGCCAGCATTTTGAAGTTCTCAGGAAAGGTGAATTTGGGCACCAATCTCCCAGCGCCTGACACAGCTGAGAGCAGCTCTGTGCTGTTGTCTCCGTTGCTGATTGTCCTGCTTCCTCTATGTCTGCATCACATGGATTTTCTTTGCTGCTTAGTATGTAAAGTTATAATTTTTTTCTAGATTGAAATTGGAAGAGAGAAGAAAAGACCTGCTACAGAAACTTGAAGAAACTACTAAATTAGCTACTTACTTGCATTCACAACTTAAAAGGTAAGAGTACTAGAGGGAAAATATTTTTCTGACTGTCATTCAGCCGTGTTCTGGTTAACTTCCGGTTAGTTAATACTTTATTCTCAGCTCTGCAAAAGTAAATTATAGTTACACAAACAGAATTAATGAGTGACCAAATTTAAACTCACATAGAATTTTTTTCCTGAACTCCAGGGTCATATTTGATGAAATACATTTGAAGTAGGTTGAAGGAAGAAGATGTTTTATCTATCAATAAAAAAAATTGCAAAATAGCACATTTTTCCCTTTACCCAATCTTTTAAAAAAGGGAGAATGGGAGAGATTTACCTTAAAATAATAAGGCATAGTTTTTCTTCTGTTGATTAGAAAACTACTCTTACAATTGCACATAGAGAAGAGGAAAGATGAGTTAACTAGGGCCTTTTGTGTAACCTGCAGCTTGTGCCTTTTTTAGGTATAGTAACTATATAACATTTATAGTTACATGAATATGATTAACGCATTCTTTTTTTTCTTTTAATGGTTTTTAGTTGTGGAGTTGCTTCTCTATAGCTGTATAAGTTGATTTATAAACTGGTATTTGGTCATTTTAAATTTTTTTTTTTTTGCAAAAGAAAAAAAAAAAACCAGCATTCTTCTCTAATGCATGGGGCTATGTTTTTTACCCACTTAGGAAATTTTTACTGCCAATGCTTTGAAGTTCTCAGTAAAGGTGAATTTGGGCATCAATCTCCCAATCCCTGACACAGCTGTGAGCAGCTTGTGCTGTCGTGTCCATTGCTGATTGTCCTGTTTTCTTTGTGTCTACACAGTCTGTGTCTACATTTTGGTCTTAATTTTTAGTAAGAAAAGAAGGTTGAAAATATTAGTGAATAAGTAAGGAAATACATGGTATAATAGCAAGTCCCTCTGCTCTGAGTATAGATTTCTTTCTTCAGCATCAGTGGTCTCCTTTCCTTTTGGAATCTGAAGGAGACAGTAGAAGTTATGATTGGATTTTCTGTGTAGGGACAGATTTTACAATGTGCTTTTCTTCTTTCAGCCTCTCCGCCAGCACGCTGTCCATGTCATCAGGGAGCAGCCTGGGTTCCCTGGCATCTAGTCGGGGCTCTCTGAACACCTCCAGCAGAGGGTCACTCAACTCCCTCAGTTCCAGTGAGCTCTACTACAGCAGTCAGGGTGATCAGATAGACATGGATTATCAGTATAAACTGGACTTCCTTCTGCAGGAGAAGGGCGGTTATGTTCCTGCAGGACCTATCACCACCATCCATGAAAATGAGGTGGTTAAGTCTCCCAGCCAGCTGGGTCAGAGTGGACTCTGTGGAGCACCAGTGGCAGCAACTGGCCACACACCCACCTTGATAGAGGCCCCCAAGTCTGTGACGTCCCTGTCCTCGAGATCTTCCCTTTCTTCCTTGTCCCCCCCTAGCTCTCCTTTGGTCTTGGAAGCTACATTTCCTATGTCTTCTCATGAGGCCTCTCTCCATCAGTTCACTACTGACTTTGAAGACTGCGAATTGAGTAGCCATTTTGCAGATATCAGCCTTGGTGAAAATCAGATACTGCTGGATTCAGATTCAAGAGGAATGTCTCAGTCTCTTGTAGAGGATAAAGACCATAACAGCTGCTCAAGGGACCCATTATTTGAAGGAACTAGAGGTAAATATAGACCTTTTCTTTTATATATTCCCTCTGAGTTGTTTTAAGGAAAATGTTTTCTCCTTATAATGTTGTAGTCCCCCTTGTCTTTTTCCTAAATATTCATTTTTGGCTTCACTTAAGGAATGTTTGTTTATTCATACAACCAGGCTTTTTTCTTTGTCAAATAAAATTACTTTCACTGTTTAGCGGAGGGAGTTACCTGTTCTGTGGTCCAGGGGCCTTCTTTATGTGGTAGTCAGCTAAGAACAGTTACTGTGAGCACCTTCCGTACTCTGGATTCTGTTTCTGAAATAGCAAGGCAAAGAAGATGTCTTTCTTATAAAAAATTGGTGCAAAACAGATTAAAACCAATTAGCATACAACAAATTAGTACCAAGGTTCACTGTTTAGATGGCTCAGAGAATTCTACAAGTTTTGTTTCATGCCAGATTCTATCTCTCTGCCTGAAGTCACTATGGAGCAAGCAGGTTCCAGTGCGTGGTAGCACCCTGCCATCTTCTGGTCGCCCTAACAGTTACAGCCCTAGGATGGGATTGAATCTTTATTCACTCACATGCACTCAGACACAGAAACAAGGAGAATTTCGTCCTTTAAACACTTTTTCCTGCATGACAGAAGTTTTTAAAATATTAGATATGGCTGTAAAGAGCACAAGATGCTTCCCTTACTGACAAATGATTCTGTTTTAGATCAAGAAGGACGATCTGTTCCATGCCAGCTTGAGGTAGACATGAAACAAAGCTCTGGTGCTTGTCCAAGCAGTCATATGTGCATCTACACCTGTGTGTTAGTGTGGCTCTGTGTTAGCTTGTGTTCAGAAATGGACAAGCCACTGTAGAACTATTTTCTTAATGTTTCTAAAAGCATTTTTGTTTCTATGCATGGTCCTATTGATTGAATGGCTAATTCAGATGTGTAAGGTATAGATGGTCCAACTTGTTTTTGTGGATTCAAATACTGAAGACCAAAATGCTGTGTTCTGTTAGTGGCCTGGGACAGAGGTGGGACTTATCCATGTGTAATGTATACTCTCTCTTAAGGAGATACCAAAGCTTCCAGTGACATTATTGAAATAATTGACCACAAAGCAAACAAGCACAGACATGGTATATATCTATAATGGTTCTACAATAGCCAAAAACCAACATGGGGTCACAGCCCTGCTTCTAGGAAGGAGTGTATATAGTAGGTGCTGGGGTGCATGCCAGCCCTGTGGCTAGCCACAACCACACTCTCACTTGAGTTGCCACATAGGCCATTCCTGGCAAGCCTCTTACGCTGTGTCTCAGGCTGGTTCCTCATCTGCAGCATTGGGATGGTACAGTCATCCTTGAAGCACGTGGGAGGGTGGCTGCTGTGAGGAATCGAAAGCACATAGGCAGGTCTGGCCCTTGCACTCAGCTCGTGGCAGCTGTTGCTACTGAGTGATGGGGGTAAGTAATATAAACACTGCTAAACACAGTTTCTATCACAAATGGCTACAAGTTAGGAAAAGAAGAACCAGAAAAGAGAACAAAGTGGAGTGTTCTTTGTGCCATTTTTCTTGCTTTAGAGCAGCAGGATCTTGCGTATCTTGTGTATCCCAAGCTGACTTTGCACTTCGTGTATTTAGTGTTCTCTGGTGAGCATTTGGCAGCACTCCCCCACTGTGGAGGACCAGTATGTGAAGCTGGATACTGGAGAAGAGGAGAAGTTATGAAGCATCTCCCAAGGACTGTCAGGATGTGCTGATTCTGAAGCCCAGCATGCCTGTCCTGCAGATCCCACTTACCCTGGCAGTGCCTTGTGCTGACCGAGGTTTCGTTCTTTGTCTGCCAATGAAATGGGGCTGTCTGCAAAGCTCCCATGAACTAGCTATAACATTTAAATGTTAGAAAACTACTTTTAAAATGTCACCTTGGGTCAGGGCTATAGCTCAGTGGCACAGTGCCTGCCTGGCAAGCATGAGGTGCTGAGTTCAATTCAAAAAAAAAAGATCATCTCAGGGGCTAGGGATGTAGCTCAGTGAAGAGTACTTGTCGGGTGCAAGGCTCTGGTTTGATCTTCAACACCAAAAACAGAAAAATCACCTAAAGGGCAAAACACATCCAAAAGCTTTGTTTGCAGATAGTTATGAGCTTCATGTCTAAAAACAGCTCAAAGAATATATTTAACCATGAAGACTAGTTCATTGAGGTCACCAAAGCTCAGGGTATTCAAGGTACATCCACCCTTCTCTTGAAGGAGGATGGCTGTCTATGAGGAACAGTGTTTGTCTCAGTGCTCTAGAGTCACACAGCTAAAGTTGAGACCCTTTTATATAAATTTTGCTCTCCGGCACCAATCCCTGCTGGATGACAAAAATGAAGTTGGAATAACTATGAAGTCTTTCCACAGTCAGTCTCTGTCATTGTCAAAGTCAATTTCAGGCTGCTGTGGTTATTCCTGAGGGTAATCAATAAATCATGTCATCACCTTCACCCCTCACAAAGAGGGGTGGGCGGAGAGAAGACACTTCATCTTCAAGGAGAAAGCATTCCTGCCGCCAGAAATAAAAGGGAAAATGCAGCAATCCATCCTGTAATCTGAAGCCTTAAAACTTAAACATCTTAACAAGATGTAAAGTCACGACTCAGAAGGGGGCCGAAATGCATACCAATACTGATCTGCTGGCTCACTCACTCCAGGATGAAAGGACTCCGCAGGCTTGCAGCTTATTACAGTACTGAATACAGCTTTAAATGAATGTTCCTTGCTCACTGCAGGATGCTGGTGTATGAATATGAGTTAGAGATAAAAGTTAAGTGGTAGTTGGTACTAAAGGTTCAGTAGCACAAAAAGTTGTTTTAATGGTGTTAGCTAGTGAGAGATTCCTGTAAGTCAAAGATGTTTTTTCTTTTTAATTCCTGTTAGAATAGTAGCTTAGGAGCCAGAGAATATGCATAAGAAAGAAGTAGAAAGCAAAGGGGGAGCAACCTTTTCTTCCTTTGAGAAGCTGGAAACTCTCCAAATAGAAATATCTCTAGCACTTGAGAGAAGCGCGTGCATACACACACAAGCACATGCGTGCGTGCACTCACGCATACACGTGTACAGTACTTTGTGGCCACTTAAAAGGAAGAAGGTGGGGCCCAGTAAGAATTTGTGCATCCCTTCCCTTAAAATACTTCAAGACAAAAAAACAAAACAAAGAAAAAAAAAAAAAAAAAACTGTTTTTTTTCTTCCCCCCAAATAACAGTTGAAGTAACTGGTGTCCCAGAACTCTCGTAAGTCACAGCACTTTGACACATCCACATGTGTTGATTGAAGTAATAACTGCTTGATTCTCGTAAGGAAACTCTACTTTGGATTTCTTACAACCAAACTGTATGTTACTGTTATTTTTCCTTATAAGAACTCCTAATAACCGCTCTCACTTTACCTTCCTTAGATGTGGAAAGATCATTACCAAAAAGAAGAGCAATCCATTTGCCTGGGGAGAAAACTGCTTGTGTATCTGCTGCTGTCTCTGATGAGTCAGTGGCTGGAGACAGTGGGGTCTATGAAGCCTCCGTGAAACGGTAAGGACACAGCCAGACTGCTGCTCCAATCGAGTTTCTCCTTGTGACTCTTCATAGTAGAGCCTGTATGTCGTGTTTGTAAGCATGCTGTAGCCGTTAGTACACCTTTAGGAGTAGTAAGGACCTTAGCCATTAAATAAATGGTGCGATTGAAGATCCCAGAGTACCAGAAGTAGCCCATCAGCCTGGAAATGATGGACAGATTGCTATGCTCAGGTCAGCTGATTCTTGTTAATACTTTAAAAACTTGATTTTGGTGGGAATGTTGGAGTGATTTGCTAATGCCTCTTTGGCACGAACAGTTTCTTGTGTGGATTTCTGAAAGCCTGGGCTGTCTGAAAATGTGATTCAGCCTAGTGGGGCTCGAGCAAGTCAGACTTCAGAAGGTCTGTTCCATAAGCTCAGAGGCAGACTCTTCTTGAAGAAGTGGAAAAAACCTCTGAAACAGTAAGAGTCTGGAATTATTTTCCAAGGATGGTGAAAGAGTGCTGTTGATAGATGCACACTAATGTTTATAGCAGCACAATAATAATAGCTAAATCATGGAAACAGCCCAGACCCCCATTAAAGGGTTAATGGATAAAGGATATATGTTTTTTGTATGCAATGGAATATTACTGTGTCATAAAGAAAGATAAACTTGAGACAATTTTAGGTAAATGGATACACCTTGAGACCATACTTTCAAATGAAGTAAATCAGACACTTGTGCTCAAATATCACATTTTTCTCATGTGAGAAACCAAAGGAGTAAGTTAAAAGACCAAAATGGATGAAAGTTATTGAGAAGTAAAAAGAAAATGTTCAAGTAGGAAGGGAAACGAGGGGATGGGGGAAGGGAAGAAAGGGAAAAAGAAAGAAGAATAGAAGGAAAAATGAGAACAAACCTTTTATAAGTAAGGAGGGGAAGAAGGATTGGGAAGGAACAGGAAACAGAAGAATCAAAATATATTATGTTTAGGTGCAAATTCTGTATGATGAATATGATCTTTGTATCAAAAATGTACCAATAAATTTCAAAAAACCATACAAAGAAAAAAGAGGAGTTAATTCAGATGTTTGTTCAAATATTTAGTGGCAAACAGCAACCATACTCTTTATCCTCATTCATTAAGTGTTCACCTACTCCCCATTCCTAGGCCTAATGAAATGGAAGATGCTCCGTACAGTGAAGAGGATGCAGCCATAGTGGAGACTGCCCAGGTGCAGATAGGACTCAGGTAGGACACTGCGCATGGAGGAGCAGTTCTAGAGGCCTGTACAGCCACCAGTAGTTTGTGGTTTACTTCTTATTTCATTCAACTTTTCTTTTGACAGATATGATGCAAAAAGTTTGAGTTTCATGGTGATTATAGTACAGCTCCGAAGTCTGCATGCCTTCTTGATACCTCATACTTCAAAAGTGTAAGTAAAGTCAGTGAAGAACAAATTGAGGTGCTTAGAAACTTCCAAAGAATGATTTCCATTGTGACCAAGCAGCTCATCCCAATGAAGATATGGGAGAGACAGCAGGGCTGACCATGTACATCTGCATCAACAGCGGGTAAAGATGAAGAGAAAAGAAAATGTGAGAAGCGAATTGGAATTTGGTCCTTGTTCAACTGATTCCTCATTAAAAATAGGATTCAACACTTTTTATTTCCTTTTTGACCAGAAATCCTGGATTATGTTTTCAGGGACTGATTAGTTCAAATCAGATAAATTATTGCTGCATAGCAGTTACTTCTGTATGTTTGGAAGAATTAGATGATTTCTCTTTCACATGAAATCTTTGCCATGAAAATGAAGTGGTTAAATTTTATCAGTAAAGCATGGTCCTTTAAGAATTTTGTCATGTTATATGAAGAAGTGCTCTTTGTCATCCAGCATTCATTTCCAATTATTTCTTAAAGTAATTTCACTGTGTCAAATCAAGAAGCTTAACAAAGTGATGGCATGATGATTCACAGTCCATTGCTTCAGGACTGTTTGCTGACATATTTCTAGAAATCTTTACCACCATTCACACTTTCTAAAGTCAGAGATCAGTAGTCTGTTAAGAACATGGCAGGAACAGGGCTTAGCAACTTTAAAAAGTTATTGAGGGGCAATCCCCACCACTCTATATCCAGTGGGGCCATGTTTTCCTTAATAGTAAAATTTTCAATGAATAGGATGCTTTACATGGTAAATGCACGTTTTCTGGAAATTCACCCTAGGGCTTATTTTTAGGTTAGTTTACATATTCATGCCAGAGGAAAGAAACTGAACCTGAGAAAAAAACAGGTCTAGATGGAGATTATTTATCAGGCAACAGAAGAACTGAGAGAGTGATTATCTACCTATTGACAGTCATCAAAACTGGATAGGGGGCTGGAGAGATGGCTCAGTGGTCTAAAGCACCTACTTGGAACAAGCTTGGCAAGGCATCAGGGACCGCGGTTCAATCCCCCAGCACCACATGCCAGCCAGCCCCGCCCTCTGGT